TTCCAGAGCATGTGTGTTGGAAAACCCTGCCATCGTAAAGTCATGGCTCTGAAGATCTGCAGTGCTACTTGGATGCAAAACTGTGGGTCTTCCAAACACCTACTGGTACCATAGAAGGCTGGTGGAAACCTTGTGAGCATGCGTCTGCACGCTGCAGATCCCGGGTCCTCGCAGGCTGCTGAGCAAAACTAAGGCCCTTGGCAGATCCGCAGCGCTCTGCTTATCAGGCTTTGTTTTGTAAATAGGTTGTTAGGGTAGTACTTTGTTAAAAAAATGCATTATGTTTTGAAACCTGTCTCTTGAAGAAGTTATAAAATGTTTGGCCCTGATCAAATAAGGAAACAAGAGCAATATAACATACGTTTATGTGTGTATGTATCTATGTCTATGTATTTGTACATGCACCTTTCTCGTGAAGTACATGCACCTTTCCACTTGATCTCTTTTGTGTCATTTCCATGGTCACGGTTACAGATATTTTTGTCTTCTGACTTAATCTGTGCCTCTTCAGATGATTTAAAAGATTAACTTCTGGAAATCAGTGAATAATAAAAATTGAGGGGTTTTGGTTTTTGCTTCTCAGGAAGATTTGTCTTTAAAGTATGGGACATGCTTTTACAACAGTAACAAGGTCTTTCACAGAGAAAGAAGGCAGCGTGTGGCTTGACTTTGTGTCTCAGTAAACCCTGCAGTGTACAGCTTTTGCAATTTTGGCGTTATGATTTCTTCATGGGCATTATGATTTCTTCATGTAACTGAAGGCCCCATGAGTCACCCGTTCTTTTAAAGTGATAGTACTATAATATAGTTCTGCTAGGCTGCTAGAGTAAAAAAATCTAATACATATTATAGTTACTGCAATAACATTATCTTGATTATGTAGGGTGCATTACAACATCTCCTCTATAGTCTGACCTCTACATTCAGCTTATCTTTGGGCACACCAATGATATTGCTAAATTTGCAGGTGAAAATCATATGCATAACACTAGAATTGAGTTGTCAGCTGTGAAGAGATGTCTGGTTTAAAGACAAATTCTTTTTCAGTATATTTCAAAATATATTCCTGGAAGTCTATTTGTCACTGCTTTTTAGAGAAAAAAATCTTGAACAAAATTATCTCGGAATGCTAATATGAGAAGATGTTGTACCAAGCATAATTTAGTCCATTTATAATACGTAAAATGTCTATAAAAATGTAAGAAAGGAGATAAAGACTTGAGAAGTCCAGGTAGTCATGTTTGCCTCGAGGCATTTTCTGAGAACAGTAGTGAGTCAGAATGCAAATCGTCTTGGCTTTGCTGATTTTTGTCGTGGCTGCTGATTACTGTAAAATTGATTCAGAAGCGTTGCAGCATCTCTGCATATGTTTAAGCCTAATCTCCACAGTGTCACAGGCATTTTTCCTTTCTGTAGGTGTTGTACTGAGTAAGAAAAAATTTGAATAACCTTCATCTTAGCATTTTTTCTAATCAAGGAACAAAGGAGGACCCTATTCAGTAACTTCCCAGTCTTGATCTCAAGTATGGCAGCATATGCTTTCTTACATGGGTTGATTTCAGGGCTGTAACGACAGTTAGGTAATGTTTTATTGCATTTGGTTCTAGACTGGAACAAAGGTTGTTTGCTATGTGAAAAAAAATGGATTATTCTATTATTCTTATTGAAAGGTATTTTAGAGTCTTATGGTGTTACTTAATTAAGTTTCTAGTTTGATTTTTTCTTTCTATTTTTTCCCTCCTCCATCCTGAGCATGAATTTGAGTTTTAACTCCACTAAGTGGTGCATTTCACAGCTTGACATTGATTTCTTGAATTTTTCAACATGTAGAGGCTCACTGTACAGACTGTGTGTTACGAAGAGTACACTTTGCCCACATTAAACTGATTGGAAAAGAGTAAGGCAAAGCAAAGCCTGTCCAAGTGTTTTCTCTAGACACAAAATAGATTAATTAGCTACCACTTATGTGCACAAGGTGTGGATTCAGCTCTTTCTGTTGGCAAAGTCAACTGCTCTGCACTTGAGTGTAGAGGAGGCCGGAAAATTTCCTCACATAAGGAGTTCTAAAGCAGTAAGAAATCCCTGAGAAAGGGAAATAGCATGCAGGATGTGACTTCAAGCCAAACTGGATGAGTAATTATACAAGAAAGATATAAGAAGCAAATGTTTAAAAAAGGATTATCAGCAGCAGCAAAGCTTATGTTGACGAGATCAGGAGGTATAGAGGATGTTTGCTGCAGAAATTAGAGACTAAGTGAGAGCTGCCAATGAAAACTGAGACTTGCAAAGTATATTAAAACAGCAGCAGAAGGTCATTTGCATCTATAAATGCAAAAAGAAGAACTGGAAAAAATGAGGCTATTATATAGTGGTGATAGGATGGAACATGAGAAAATCTTGTTAAAGACTTAAAACTAATAGATGCTTCACTTTGATTTTCACTCATTGAGGATGTTGACCTTAAAAGAAGCTAATGGGAATAGGGAAATGACCTCTTTCTTCCAGGATTCTTTAAGAACTGTCTCATTAAAGGACAGATATAATAACAAGTGCTTCTTGGTAGAGCTCTTAAATGAGTGGTGATGCACTGATCAGTAAATGGGAAATATAATATCTGTCTTAAAATGGGGACATAGGTTCTGGCAGCCATAGACCTAGTAGCTTAACATCAATAGACTGTAAAGTTACAGAACAAATTTTGAAGGAAAGAAAACTTTAAAGTCTGGAGATAAACAGAAAATGGGATATAATGCAACAGGAAATTACTAGGGTAAAAAGTACTGGACTAAGCAATATCTTTCTATTACAAAGGGAATAATGTAAAATACACATGCTTCTATGAAAAGTGTTTTATGAAAATAAGGGCAAACATGAGAATTATCAGGTAGGCATGAAACTAAATAAAGGGAAGATGGCAAAAAGTACTGATAGAAGGAGAGATATCAGGCTGGAGAAATATAACTAGTGGAGGAAGATACTGTCAGAGTACCGTGATGAAATTTTGCTGATGCAGCAGCTATAGGTAATGTTACATGTTCATAACAGGCTAAGAATATCACTGTGCAAATAAATAATTTTGAGGAGCATAATAATAGACATGACATAATGGAAAACTTGTGCGTTGCCGATTAATAAAAATATTACAATATAAGCAGAAACTCATCATTTAGAAATAGGCAAGAAGGAAAAAAAGAGCAGAATTTTGTTCCCAAGATGATCGTCAGTCATCATTTTGATACAGATGCAGAAAAAAAGTAAATGTGATCTTGGGACATGTCAGTAGAAGTATTTTACAGTAGAGATGGGGCAGTAATGTGAAAGGCAGCAGAAAGCCTTCAACTGAAATTCTGAAAATTTTGGCCATATATGTTCAAGAAAGAGGAAATGAAAGTGAGAAAGTGCAGAACAGTACGTTTTAGGATGGCTAGCCATCAGATGGGTCTGGGATAGTGTGTCTTGTGTGATCTAGCACAACAAACACAGAGGGGTTGTTGAAGGGCAAGGAAGAAAGCTTTTAAAGCTTTTAAAGTATTTATATGCAAACCACCTATGAATAGGTTGGGGGCTGTGAGTGGGGGGCAGCTCATAAAATCCGAGAGCGTCTCTCCAGCCCCATGTTGCAGTTCCCAGTGCTTGTGTTCAAGTTGGACACACTGATCAATTGCCTAACAGGAAAAATGCACAATTTGTGTATCTTTTGCTCTTTGTACAGCAAGTGTAATAGGAAAGAATTAAAACTGAATTGGTTTGAATAAGCACATTTGCTGTGTATGTGCAGTTTAAGACCATAACCAAGCCCTGCCGCTCTCACAGGGTGACTGTGACTTCCGCCTTCGAGAGGAGAGGAGGCCCCAGGACATAAATTCTTAGAACAGTATGACTTTAGGTCATCTCATCTGCAGTGCACATGCAGAGAATAGGAGAAGCTTAGGAAAAACTAGTTAGTAGAAGATGGATATGATGACCACCTAACTGACTGTTCCTTTCTCCAGTTTATGATGCTTGGATAAGCAACACTGTTAATGGTCACACAGAGTTTCTAATAATTTGTTTTGTACTTAGAACACAAAAGTGGGACATTTTTCATTGTGCCCTTTATGAGATGTTAGAAAGGCAGTAATTTCTCAAGAAAATAGCTTCATGCATGTTTTTATGTGCACGGACCAGTAAAGCCTTTATTCAGTCTGCTAAAATCAATAAAAGTCTTTCTGAACGTCTTAAATGAGCCCAGGAGCACATCAAAATTCAAAATATATATTGAAGTCTCTCTTTTTCTGGTTTGGAGGTTGACATAGCGTAGGAATAAGAGATTTGGGGCAAGGGCCTGGTCACATTGGCTTACTACATTTTCTCTCAGCTAGTCTCCTAAAGTAAAGAACATTACTCATAAAGTAAGTTGTTATGCAGTATCTGTGGCAGAGTCTTAATGACGCACAAGGGCTGCCTGTGTAAAAAGGAGTGAAGTTTCTAGTTGGTTACAATTCAAAATGTCCAAATTTTACTTGTCAGTTCAACGACATTTGTGATAAAGAGAAAAAATTATTTTTTTGAAATGTGGACACTTTTCTGTTCAGATTGATGGAAATGATCAGTGTCTGATAATATGCATGGATACACAGATAATATACAGAACTGGCAATGTGCAAAGAAAAAACTGGAATGAACAAATAATATTTATAATCGTGAAAAGAATGGTTAAAACAGCATAGGCCAACTTTTCACTGGCATGCAAAAATAAATCTTATGTAGTTTATATTTGGTTTATTTTAACATTAAAATACTATAGATAATGTAATAATGTATTATAACTAGGATCAAAAGTGACAATGTGTTGTTTAGCTATTTATTATTGGTTCCGGAATGAAACACATGTGAAAAAAGAATCATACAGGCAGAAATGGAAATTGCCAAATTAGCAAGGCTGGGATGTGGAAATGCTTAAATATATGTTTACAGACTTTGTTACTAGTTGAACTGTTGTTTTTTTTTTTTTCTTTCAGTTTGCTCCCAGTATTCTAGAGGAGTTTTTGCCATTTTTGGACTATATGATAAGAGATCAGTACATACCTTGACCTCATTCTGCAGCGCCTTGCACATCTCCCTCATCACACCAAGTTTCCCCACGGAGGGTGAGAGTCAGTTTGTGCTGCAGCTGCGACCATCTCTGCGGGGAGCCCTCCTCAGTTTGCTGGATCATTATGAGTGGAACCGCTTTGTCTTCCTCTATGACACAGATCGAGGTGAGTTGTAACCTAGCTTTCCCGTCTTTTTAGCTCAATTGGCTTTTGCTCGAAGTGTGCATTTTTCTGTGGTATGGAGAGTTTGGGGAGTAAAATTTTAGAAGACCTCTGAGGTGAGATCGCTTCTACTGAGTAGCTCTGTGGCTGAAGGAAGAATTCTTTCATCCAAATATTGGATACTGAATGAACGTATTATGTAATTGACCCGCCTGCACCATGCTGGACTACTGAAACATGTTAATTAGCGTTCATAAAAGAAAGACACAGTTCAATCAACAGAATTTTAAAGTTCTGTTCAGTTTCTGTTCAGCTCACCTCATACCTGATTTCAGGGACAACAGCACAAAAATAGAGAGGACAAGCCACTTCTGTTCCACAGTTTCTGCGCGTGCCCTGGTATAAACTGAGACGTGAGCGAGCCCCTTGGGGCTTCCATGCTGTGGAAGGTCAAGGCAGAAACAGGTTCATTCAACACAATCTCGGTTCAACGACAGCAGCCAGGCTGCAGTAGAGAAGTGGAAGTAGCAGGGGCGATACCTGATACCCAGAGGGATCCACTGGGCAGCGCAGGAAGGGAGTTGGTGCACAGCCTGCTGTATCCTTTCCTTTGCCTTTCGTCTATAATTCTGCTACTGCAGTGGACTACACATTTATAAAATATGTATTGCCTTAAACAAAAGGTCACACTTTCCGTGAGCATTCTCCATTCTCCTACCACATCACAGAGCATCTCAGAGCCTTCTAAGTGGTAGAAAAGCACAAGTACATCAGTATGCCTCACCACTTACTGCTGAACGGAGAAGTAAAATTTCAATTTCGCCACTTTCTGCCTTTATTCTGCTGGCAAAGCCCTTTGCCTTTGTTTATGGAAGAGGATTGGGCCAACATGGCTGAGCTTCTATGAAAGAGGCAAGGTTTTTATTTTGATGGCTTGCTTGCAGGGGGAAACTGAGTGGCATAGCTGTAGTCAAATAATTATTTTACTACAGCTGTTTCAATATAGCTCCCCATGTGGACGGTCTATTCTGGAATTAAAGTGCCTTTATTCTGTATAATTACTCTTCACTGGAAAGAGGGAATTATGCTGACCTAAATAAATCTGTGTAATTATTTGATTATGGCTACAGAAGTCAATTTTCTCATATATACAAGCATTTTTAGCTTGATTTCCTGCCTAAACACCTGAAATGAAATCGAAGTGAATAATGCCCAAAAATGAAAGGGTTGGAATTTTCCATAATTGTTTTCTTTTTTTTTTTTTTTAAACAGACTGATTCTGGGAAGCATTTCTGAAAGTATATAGAAAGTATTAGATAACTGAAAAGAGAAAAAATTACCAAATTAAATTGTATTCTTACTCAAGATATATTAATGGAGAAACAGAAAACAAACTCAATTAGAGATGTGGTCCTACAGGTTCAAAAAATTGTCAAGAGAAGAAGTGCACAACCTGCTGTCACCTTTCTGATCTAAATTCCTATGCTTAATTAGATTGAGACATCATTTTTAAGCATGCAGTGTCACTCCAAGGGCAGTTTCCGCACATCCTCTATAACAGTGTGGTTAATAAATGATTCTTATGACCCTGAACTCAGCAACTTTGATCTCATCAGTGCGTCTTTGATAAGGAGATGACATTTGCCTGCTGGATGCAGGGGGTACTGCATTGGATAGTCTCTCAAAATCTGAAGAATAGGTCTCATGACTCAGTTTAATGCAAGAGCAAATAAGGTTTGGTGCATCTTTCATATTAAGATGACTGTAATTCACTGAATTACATTGCTGAATAATTTTCACTGCCATTCCACAACAGAAGTTTTGAATGTGGAGCTATGATAAACATAGGTAAACCTGAAGATGGAAGCAAATTCTTTTACTTTCAGTGTTGTAATCTGAACAAAAACCAATTGTTGATGTTGAGTTATGTAGTCTGAGTCAGTGAGACGAGAATTCAACCCTGTCCAGATATTTGCCAGATTCTTCCGTTACATTCCCAGCTTTTCACTGTCTCTCTGAACCACCTCATCCCACTCACCCACAGGAAGCAGAATCCCCTTGGCCTTTTGTTTTTGATCCTGGGCTTGTGAGTTTATCTTTGCAGCTTAAGCAGAATGCTCTAAATACGCTCCTGGGAGAGAAGGTGGGCAATGAGCACAAATCCCTGCCAGACACAGCAGCTCTTTGCAACAGAGGCAGCATTGAGCAGCTCTCAGTATTATAAAAGGCAGAAGTCCCTGGCAGCAGTCAGTCCGACAGACTAAACTTAGGCAAATCTTCAAGAGCGGTGGTAACACGCTGTTGTGGACAAACTCCCTGCTGTTGCCAGACCTGCTTCCCCAGCCTCTCTGTCCTGCTGGCTTCTTGCTTCTCCTTCACGTGTCTCCGTTGCTGCTCACCCTGAGGGGGCGAACAATTTCATGCTGGTAGCTGAGGCTTCTGCTACGTTATTAAAGCAGGTTTCTCTGCTGTATCGCTCGCATCCCCACTTACCACAGTTAGGTTTACATCAGGCAGTAGTCTTGGAGCTCACAAACTCCAGTGAGGTGATGGTTTCAGCTGTTATGTTAAATCTCTCCTTCTGACATTTTGCCAGCCTGGCGGTCTGGAAAATCACTGTCCTGGGACAGGACGTAGGTACTGGGAAGAATGGCTAAGCTACAAAATGAAATGTAACTAGCAGGGGATGTTATAGGAATAGAGAACAGGTTTTGTGACAACATTAGACCTAAGAAAAAGATGAAGGAAAACGTGGCTCATTACCTAGGAGGGAAGGTGAACAAGTAATGAATGACACAGAAGGCATGGCTAAAGCCTTCAGGAACCCTTTTGTTTCATTCTCCTTTCTCCTACCCCCTTCCACTAAAATATATATATATAAGTTTTAATTGTGACCCACTGCTTAATACAACAAGGTGCCAGGAACACAGATGGGACAGGGAAAAAGCAGAATGAAGAACATTCGCCTAAGTTACATATATGCAAAGTATAGCAGGGAAGGCCTAAGATGAAAACCCTGCCTCCTCAAGATATCCGGAGGAAAGGGAAGTCCAACAGAGGTGAAGCGCTCGGCTGATTTTTGATATCACCTCTAAAGAAGAGATAATGAAAGGAGCAAATGGGCAGACCAGAACCATGTTTATTTTATATATATTGTTTTATTGTGGTGGAGACATATTTTTAAAAAAAAAAGTGGAGCAAAGTTTGTAATTGTCACAGCACATGAAACTGCTTTTTCGCTGTGTGTATGTGCAAATCACCTGGTGATTTTTGAACAGGCGCAGGTGGGCCTACAGTGTGGTTTCAGTGGTTTAAGAAAATAGTTTCTAGCACTGGGAAGCAAAAGTGAGAGCCTGAAACCACAGGAAAAGGCTAGCGCAGTCTGCATCTTATGTGATGTGGGAGAAGCTGTTTCAGAGCCTTTTGCATGCAAGAGGGCCACGTTCATTTCCACTGCTGTGTGCATTCCGGCTAAGGGCCGCAGTAACAGAAGCTGCTAGTAGGGCTGCAGCGATTATCCGGAGCTGACAGAGCTGCCGCGGAGAGCGGTCGGAGAGGCCGAGGAGCAGCCAGGGAGACCAAGGCGCGTGGCAGCCGGCAAGCTGGAAGCTGCTTTTGCAAAAGTTCAGCAGCCGTTTGAATCCGACCCTGCTACCCAGCAAGACTTGACAGTCCCTGACTGTGACTAAAGAGCTATAGCAGGAGGGGGAGAGCTACCAGCTGGCCTAGCAGTTGGCTCACCAGAGGCGAGAACTGTAAAATAGTTATAGTTCTACCCTAGAAATTAGGCGTATGCTCGCCTGTTTATGTACTTTGGTGCTTTTTTTTCCTTGCTCCTTTTAGTTGCACACTGTTTGTTAAACGGACTCATTCATAGTTGCAGGTGAGGAAAATCAGCTCACTGACCACAAGATAAATTTAATCTTCCCAGATTTGTGGAGATTGTTTTTATAGCAACCCCTTTAAAATTGAACTCATTTTATTTTATGCCAATGTAAACCTGATAGAAGAGTTACACACATCCTGATGGCCTGTCTGAACTAATTCAACATTGCTTAGAGATAGCAGATTCCAAATTTTTGTCTTTAAGGACTGTGGAGGATAGGTGAGGTCTCAGATATCTGGAGAAAGCAAAGAGATGGGAAATGTAAAGCCTGATTCTTATTTTGAAGGAGATTTTGGAATTGATTTTAATAATCAGTTTATCAGGCTAATCTAATTTTCTGCTTTGGCAGAGTAGTTGGTCCAGAAACAGTAGGAGTAGCAGTAGGTATGGTGTTTCCACTCTTAGTAAGTCTTGTGGTATAATCTCATGTCTGATATTCTCCCAGATAAACTAGAAAATAAAGATGCAGCGATGGCATGGTGCCTGGAAAATTAGAAACCTTCGCCCTCAAATTAGTATCAGTGACTCATTTTAAAACTAAGGGAAGGTGTCAGGTGAGGTTCAAGAGATTTTTGCAAGTCTTTGCTCTGATCTAGTTAACTTCTAGCATTAAGTTGGATGATGGAACAGACAATGCCTTTTGTAGGTGCCCAGTTCCGCTGAGGTAACTAGAATGATGCAGGACAGGTTCAGAGTTCAAAGTCATCTTGCTAAATAAAAAGATCAAGAAGGTGAAATGTGGTAAAGGTGATGCAAAGTGTAGACCTAGGAAGGAAGAATGAAAGGTACAGTGCAAAGTGTAGAATAACTGGCTAGGCATTAGTATCATGGGAAATGTTTCAGGAGTTGTAGTGAGCCATAAAATTAATGCAAGTCAAGAATGCCATGCTGTTCCAAGAAAGTAAATGTTATTTTGAGATTTAGGAAAAAAGATGTTGAATGTGAGAAATGAAATCTGGATATTGCTGCCTACCAGCTGTTGCTGGAGAGCTTCAGCTGGAGTGCTGTGTCGTACGTTGGGAATCACACTTTAAAAGAAAAGATCAAAGATCTCCTCTAAGCTGAGGAAGGGGAAAGGAATCACGTGGTTAAGGCATAAAGAAGACATGAGGTTGGC